TATGGGCAGGTTACAGTATAAAAAAATGTTTGTCATAATCACGTCTTGTGATTATTTGACAGGAGTTAAAATGTAAGTATATTTAATTTAGTTATAATGCAAATACAATAAAAATGAAACAAAGATTTAGAATAATTATCATTTTGATCCGTACATTAGTAATGTCTGACTGGGTCTCGTGCCACTTTATGTTCAATAAATTGGGCCTCGAGGTCAAAAAGGTTAAGAACCCCTGAGATAGAGGATGGTTGTGTAACATCAGGATATTTTGGTTCTGAGTTCCTGGGACATGCGAGAGCAGACGACCTGTTACTGATAGCACTGCTCTTCCTACACATAATGAAATCATATTTTGTCTTGAATTTAGGGTTAATTAACAAATAATTGCGTATAGATCAGTGTTTCATTAAGGCAGAGAAATAACTACCATATGTATCCAGTAACTGTAATAATAGGTTGAAGGGGTTGCCACTACAGTTGAAACTTGAAGTCGTGTTGGTATTAAAAAATATTTGGTTATTATTAAAAAAAAGGTATTAAATTTAACTTCAGGATTTCTGTATTTACCCTGATTCATGTTCAGGCTGCCTTGAGGCCCCATTAAAAAATCTCTGATCTCAGTGAAATAAAGTTTAAATAAAAATGTTAAAAGGTGTTTTTCTTATTCTAAGAATCACTGATAATCAAAAAATATTATATGGGATAATTTCAAATTGAGATTTAAATTCATTGGTTATGAATCAACTTTACGTTTCTTGAATAAATGCTCATCACCTGCCACCTTGTAAAGATAGTTTAAGGGCAGATCTCACCTGAAATTTTAGAGATGTGATGGGACTGACATTGATGTTTGCTAAGGTTGATTAGCTGGAGCAGACTGACTTCTAAAGTTAAATCATTGTAGATGTACAGCTAATGGTTACCTACTAGAAATTTTATCATTTGTGAGTCACTGGTTCATAAGATATTTTGCTAATAGACAGAGCCAATCACAGTATTTTTCTTCAAATCAGGAAAATTATTGTTTAGTTTAGAAAATGGTATATTATTATTATTATTATTAGTATTATTATTATTATTATTAACCATTATTTAACCAAGAAAGTCCAGTTGAGACCTCTGATCTCTTTTTCAACGGAGGCCTGGACCTGAAGGCAACCTATTGTACATGTTTTTAGGGGTGGGGGAAGCCGGAGTACCTGGAGAAAACCCACACAAACACGAGGAGAACATGCAAACTCCACACAGAAAGACCCCAGGTCCGAACCGGGGATCGAACCCAGGACCTTCTTGCTGTGAGGCATCGGTGCTAACCACAGAGCTGTCATGCTGCCATACTCTGAAGTTATAAGCTGCTCTGAAGCAGGTTATAAATTCAGCGTCTGGTGATTTTTGTCAAGCTCACATGGAGCTTTCTTTGTGATTCCTACATCTCACAGGGAGCCAAGTCATTAACGTCACACAGTGATACATCCTCCTGATTAGAACCATGTGATAGTTTTTATATCTTGAATTGAAAGGTGGTCGAAATAAATTTCACTAGGGCTGTGTATTGGCAAGAATTTGGCGATACGATACATATCATGACAGAGGGGTCACGATACGATATATCCCGTTATATTGCGATACTATGAGCAAGGCGAAATATTGCGATTTTTTTTGTCCAAAAATTCTATTAAATAAAAACCTCTTAC